GGTCATTGAGCTTCGCGTTTTTCACCTATATTTCTGCAAGAATCGTTGCTGAAATGAGTAATGAGCCTGTAATGACATAGGTTTGTAATGACATAGGTTTGTAAGCAAAAGTGAAATTAAATTCGTCGATCTACTTTTGTCAGCCGACTCCTATAACTTCAGCTTATGCTTAAGTACCTTTGTCTTTTTGCACTTAAAATAGTAAGTAACTACTAGAAAATATTGATTTCTTAAAGCGTTTGACATCATCGAATCGTATGTGATAGATATGTATGTATGTCATTTAAATATGATGTCATAATGTGATTTACATGTGCAATAACACGCATAGACGCATATACGTTTTATATGTCAATTATATTGACATATGTGCGATTTAAAGTCGCAAACATATATGTATATATATATATATATATTTTTAATTTTTTTTAAATATATAGATTCTGTAGATTCGCGCGTCTTGGTTTTATTATTCCTAATTATCATATTTTTGTATTTGTTATTACAATATATTTAATTAATATAAACCGCAAGTCTCTTATAAGGAAACTTTATTTACGATATGCGATTACGACACGAACATGCGCAATATAGTTTTTACTACATAATATTTTCATGCATAAATAACATTATTGTTGCCTCATCGCATAATGAAGCATATATTTTTGACTGAAGTGATCGGCTCTTTTTAGAATTATATAGAAAAATATCGATGAACTTGATCTTTGTATGATGATGACGATTTTACCGACAGCTATCTTGTTAAGACAACCAATGGAATGGACAATTCGATTAGTGCTAAGGCTTTGGTGAATGTTCACCAGACGGAGACACCTTTATCTGCATCAATAATACTAAAAATTTTAATTGTTACGCAAAAAAAATCAATAATTCGCGATATCTTCTTTTTGCTGTCTCTTCAATACGTCCACGAAACATATGGCGCTAGAAGAAAAGCCAATTACTTTATCCAAAAGTTACACAAACATTATTTACGATGTACGACGAACATTAAAATCAATTGAATCTCTATTAAACTCGCTGACAAATTTAACAGCCTTTCACTTATTTTAAACGATGTTCTAAAGCAAGCGAAGAGGCAGCCGATGTATATTGACCAGGAGTAAAGGACGGTATGATTCTAGTCTAGACTGAATAGATCGTGGAAGTTGTAGAGATCGATCGAGAATGAAAGGTGATGGTGATCGACGCCTAATGATGACGGTGATAAGTTCACGTAAATCCCGTGGAGAAACCAGTTTTTACTTCATTACTTCCTCTCTCAATTATGATTTCTATCTTTCTCTTTTTTCCTTAACTTACTTACCAATAGTTCACCATTAATAAGTGGCTGTGTAAGCATAATATAGCACACGAAGCGGATAGTCTTTTCATTACACGTGCCTATTTTTTTTTTTGAAGATCAATGTCCATGTTTGCGAAATCATTTTTATATTTCTTCATCAAAGAACTGAAATGTAATATAAAAAGATAAATTTTATGTATGTAAAACTATATTATAACAAATTCATCTTTATATATTAAATTAAAATTTTTTGATATAAATATTTTTAATTATACTTTTTATTTAATTAGTTTATATAGACAATTGTATATAATGTATTTGTGTAATTATGTTTTGAAATGCCCCTTTGTTTTTCTTTTCTCTAAAATCGCAGAAACTGTTACAGTTTTATTAAAATTAAACGGAAGAACAGGTTGCAAACATAATGTTGCGAACCGAACAAATTATTTGCAATATAGTGTACGCTGTGTTATGGGCATTATGACTGCGCATTTGTGTAATGGAAAAGTCCATTGGCCTCGTATGTTCTATTCTTTCTCTCTGGTGATTTTATCGTGCTCGATTGAACATTATCGAGTCGTTTATCGTGTCTTATTATTAGTATTATTAATTACTTAAATATTATTAGGAAGTGCTTCACTAAAAAAGCACTATAAAAACTATTATATTATATGATTAGTGTTGTGATTCTACAAATAAAAAATAACCAAGGATATGTGGTGTGTGTGTGTGTGTGTGTGTGTGTGTGT